CAGTATTGATTGCAAGTATCGAGAACTCGGAATTAACTAATCAAGTTGGGTACTTGAACAAAGTGATTGCCGTCTCAAAGCCGATGTTTATTGTTTTTTATCCCTGATAGGTTTGACCAGTACGTACGTACGCCTATGTAATAAAATGCCTATTAGAAGCTTATTCAATTTTATTAATTCGTATTCTTAATTAACAATAAGCTGAATGAAACCACGTCCGAATGCCCGTGGCAGTCCAAAGGACTGGTTGGTTGCTTAGATCATGAAGTTTTTTTTTATTTGTGGGGGGAAAGTCATCAGTCTTCTCTCGCCCAGGAAAAGGAGTGCCAGAATCTTACTGACTAGAAGCCGCTCGTTCCTTCACCTGGTATAGGCCCGGATCGCTGTAAATTATTAAGCTTGTCCTATTGGTTGGCAATATTGGCCCGCGCGGAACGCTATGCGTCATAAAACACGTAATCTATACCAATATTATAAAGCTGTTTGTTTGTTTGTTTAAACGCGCTAGTGTCCGGAACTACTGGTTCGAATTGAACGATTGTTTTTGTGTTTATTACTCAATTTATCAAGGAAAGCTTTAGGTTATAAAACATCACACCGTAAGCACGGACCTGCGGTCGGCGAGTAAGGGCAGCTCGCCGCCCGACAAGAACCAGGCCCGAGCGTACGGCGCGTAGCGTTCCGCGCGCGCCTCAATGAGCCAATAGACCACCACAGACGGGGCCCTATAGGGCTGATGTTCAGCCGGGGTTGCGGGGTAAGCGCAATGAGGCACCGCAACCTCGGCACAGAGCAGGAGAAGCGGGAGAAGTCATTTGATGATTTTCCCCTTACAAAAAAAAAAAAAAAACGGTGCGCTAGCCCAACAAACCCAGCTACTATAGCATGTGGAATGGGTTTAGCGGTTTAGATATTGTCAAATCTCATGTTTTTGTGTTTCTTAATCCATTTATCGAAGAAGGCTATAAAATATCACACAACGATCTGTAGGAACCGAGCAAAGGATAAAAACGGGCGATACTAGCTAGTAGCTACTAAAAGCACAATGCACTAATTAATCAATAAACTTTCAACTCTAACAATAAAAAGTCAAGGTTGAAAATATTTCAAAGATATTTGACCGAGGGTAGCTTGAAGTGCTGCCTGTGTACTCCAAAGACAACTTGGAATACTTTTACTACATTCTAATAGTAAAGCTTTCGCTCCTCAGTTCTGAACTTACTGTTCAACTTTCACTTATTTAATAACTATTTTAAACGTTAAACACAATAATTTATTGTTACTATTTAACACTCTAATACACACCTTACGTAATAGCAATAAGATTTTATTTTGATTGAATCACAAATAGAGGAAGTGTTTAAAAAATGAGTTATTTTTGTTGAATTATTCTATTTCTATATATAATGCTAAGTTTAGCTTCATTGTTATTCAAATTATAATATGTATGTAAAATATTTTTCTTATCTCTGCTAAATGTAAGGTTTCAAAAACAATTATTAAGATAATATTATTAAAACAATAACTAGGTAACTCATTAGTTTTATATTCACCCCTACACATATTTAAAAAAAAAGTCTTTCCATCTCTGTCTCTCTGTCAGATCTACATGGTTCCTGCATAAGGCAATGCAATTTACCCGCAACTCCGTTCGCAAGTAATAGTGACTTCCTGCATATTTTTGGTATAAAAACTATCCTATGTCCTTACTTGAGTTCCAAATTTCACACAAATAGGTTCAGTAGTTTAGGCGTGACTTACGCAAGTTACGTATTTATAATATGAGCTCAGATGATAAGTTTTAACAACCATTAGTCTGTTGATATTTTGATTTGATTACTAGTCTTTAATCAAGCTAATTAAGGTGCATTAATCAAGTCATCATTTAGCAATAATTTAGTAAACTTTAGATACACACTACAGATAATAAGAAAATAGTCTAATTTAACAATATTTTACTTCAGCGTATGTCAGTGGTGTTAAAATAATTTAAGAATATAAATGTAAGTCAGAACACTTCACTCCGGTACTTAAATACTAAGCACCCTCATGGATCAGGGAAATGTCAGTATTTTTGGTTAAAAACCACCTTATTCCTTTTGCTGTGGGCCAGGGCCAGGATATATGATTGTGCTTGCACCCGCTACTTTGGCTGAACAGGCTCTACAGGACGTTTGTGGTGGTCTAATGGCTAATAATGCGAGACGCTGTATGCTTGGGGCTTCTGTTCCACACATTCCAGAATGTTGTCTTTCAGCCAGTTTTCTAAACATTATATTAAAAAGTTTAATGTGTGTGGAGGTGGAGTGGGGGGCTTGCCTTCAATAGTTATGTCAAAAAACCTCCAACTATATATTGCACCTCATAATAAATTGTTTACATGAGTGTATGTAGTCTTAATTATTGTCTCATTTAATACAACTAATGAAATCTAATTATTAATAAATATTTTCCAGAATTGAGCTAGGTTCACTTAAGACAAACATTAAAATGATACTTTTAGATTTAACTTCTATATATATTCTTTGATTGAATCCTATTTAATATTGATTAAGGTAATCAAGACTTTAAACAAGCACTTTATATTAATAATAAAGGCTTTTTCAAATAACCACTCACATAACTAGAAAATGGAAATAGGAAATACTAATTCTGGCATACCAAAGGTTAAATACAAATAATATATAATCTGTAGCACTAAAACATGTTTTGAAAAAAGATTTTAATCTTTTGTATAGGTACTGTGAAAATCTGACAATCACAGTGGATGGACATTATTCTCATGAACCAACTGGCGGCAGAAATTTGCATAAATACTTTACATAATGAAAGTAATTACCAATTCAAATAGAAACACTCTATTACATCATGTGTATCATAGCCAAATTCCATTTAATTTAGTAGGTTTTTATTAAAAAAGTATTTAATCGACCACACAAACATACTGGCTGGTAAATTTAAATTTATAATAGACAACAACATAGACTAAAAAACTTATCTGATAAGAAGTCTCATAGCAAATAAGGTCTTATTAGAAATTTAAAACAGTGTGTACTCACAAAAAATGGGTATAATAGAGGCCAATTATTATTTAGACGTGAACGGCGACGTGAACGGCGACGTAAACGGAGTGGACACTGTCGCGCAATATCATCGCCCGCTCAGTTCTGTTGCAATGCAACCGATGCATTCACAGATGACGAAACACCCAATGTTTCGTGTATTCCGTGCACAACACGCACTCTAAAACAACTAATAACACTTATTTACCTAACAATGACCTCTACACCTACCTTCTCGAAGCGCTGCCTGTATTCAGCCTTCTCAATTTTATCGTTCTCCAACTGTGAAATCTTTGCCGTCAGCTCCTGCAGTGCTTGATTCTCTTTCTCGTTTCGCACCGCCAAGTTCTCCAGCAACTCCAGCGCATTAATCACCTTCGGCAGCAGCGCTGTAACGGCGTCAGGGCCGTATTTTTCAATAATTATCTCGCATTCTTTGCCAATATCCGATGCCAGGTCGTAAACATCGACGACAGTCACTTCGTCGTCGAAATCTGGCATCTTGGCTGAGAAGCGCCTGCGGTACGGCATTAAAATCACTTGGTTTTCACTTCACGGCACTACATAAAAATAAAAGTTACAGTAAACTAAACACCTTTCGCAAGTGCGCCATCATTACTGAAAAAGTGAAATGTCAAACTGACTAAGGTAGGGATGCGAAACGTAAATAACTCTGCATAGCGAGTCAGATTAATCGATTCCGTCATCGATTTTGGAGTCCATATGGATACGATTTATGGAATTAAAAAAAAATCAATTTCTAAGTAGGTTAGGTAAGGGTGAGACTAAGTTTTTTGAAAATATGGCTACGTGGCGACGTCGTCTAACAGCAGACTCGGTGTCGAGCATAAGTAGGAGTCCCGTGATTTGAAACTAACTTAGTTTGCTTAGTAATACGCTGTATAAACTTAATACAGGGAGTTTTTATTTTTTTACTAAATTCTCAAATCTTATGAAAATAAATCAAGATTTGCTTTATACATTTAAAAAAAGGGTGTATTATAGAGATATTTCAAAACCCAAAGTTTTCTGAATATCCGATATTTATAAGTTTTTATATTAAAACTCTTTTAAGTTTTAGGCATTTAAAAATAAAAGTGTTTGTTTCTTATAAGAAATTTAAAATCGAATATCTCTAATATAAACTACAATTCTTATCAAAATCAAGTAAATTAAGTAAACGGATTAACCTAATTTTACTTCCAATGGAATTCCAAAATAATAAAAAGTTAACTCGAGCAAAGTAAATCGAACTGTTCGAATAGACTTAACTTGCGATGAACATCACTAGTGTCACGGTGAGAAAGAGATAGTATATGTTGCTTACTCCTTTTACGTTCGGATACACTATCCAGTTGAAAAAACCAAACATTGAAGTTATAAGCATGGCGAATTCTGTTAACATATGATTTTTCTGATGTCGCTATAGATTATCGTTAACAATTAACATGAACATATTCAATTTAGTAGATATTCTGTGAAGATCAAATAATGTGGTAAAAATTGACATTACAAAGATGTGTTCTCACCTTTACAATGACGTCATTTCCGAATCACCATTCAAAATTTAAATTGTGTGAAAATTTTAATGAAGACTACGTCATCTATTGTGTTTATCCATATGCTGAACCATTATATTAATGTTTTCGTGTACATTATAAACCAAATTAATGCATTTGCCAGAAATAAAGCAAGTGAATTAAATTGTAAACCCTAACACTTACCTAAAATACACACTAAAAGCCTAAAACTTTTCCGTGGTACTTAGTGTGCAAAAACTACGAAGTCATAATAATGTAAGCATTATACTTACATGGTCATGTTTATCACACTGATAAAAGGATGTCGCTGATCGCAACATATTGTTAGTTTTCAAGAGCGATGTTAAAATATCGATTATTATGAGCCGCCACGCGCGAAGCAACAGTTGAACAGTATCAACAGGCGCGAACGCGCGGCGCCACTGTCCCGCGCTCCGCGAATATATTCAAATTATTTTTTTTATTATTTTTTTTCGAATTGTGCAATGAATTTTCAAAGTAAAGCCAATAAATATGTGTGTCCGAACGATCGGCAACTGTCTTTGAGAGCCAAGTAAGTATTTACGAAAGTTTTTGAACACAGCTGGTAATGTTTTGTTTATATTTTGGACTTTTGGCGTCACTTTGATGTTTAATTAGTACTGTTGGGATACGCGTTAAGAATTTTTATATCTAATACATTTTTTTATTATTTATTTGTGCGTAATAAAAATAGGCTGTATACAAATTTGCTTTTGCCTTGATGCTAAAAATGTTTTCCGTTTTCGGTTTTCCTTGATAGTAAGTAAAGTTGTTGTTGATAAGTTTTAGTGTCTACATTTATTTCGGTGGGAAATTACGGCCGTAAATGTTTTCGCGTTATCTTTTCGAGGACTTTTATTCTTGTTTTTACATGATAGCTAAATTAAAACGTTAATAAACATTGCAATTCGTGTTAGAAGCCATAAAAGCGTGTTTACGCCTTTAATGTAGGTAATAAACTAATCATCTTATTCTAAATTATAAAATGTTGTGTAACTTACGTAGGTACCTAGTATTTTTAATTCATATTATAATGTAAGAATATCTACTACAAAAATATAATATTAACAATGAGGCACATTCGTTTCCCTCCCTCCTTCTACCCCCAATCCTCACATCCCTGACTCTCAAAGACTGAAAACGAACGTGTAACTCCTGAGGATATCCAAGGGCAGTACCGATTGCTTAGCGTCCTAAAAAAAAATCTTAAGTGCTGTATAACACTGCTCATTATTATTATCATCATTACCATCAGCCTCTAAACATACACTGCTGAGCTTTTAACCCCAATTATTCGTAACTAGCGACCCGCCCCTGTTGCGATGATTTTCCTCTGACATAAAAAGCCCGCAACCCTGATGACAATGTTTATTTTTCCAATCATTATTTGCTTTACCTACCGCCGGGTAGGTAAACGATCCACCAGTACACCAGGTGTACTGGTGGATCGTTTTAGTTGGTCAATATCCTTGCGTATTTTATAATGTCAACAAATGACGAGATTAAGATAAAATCGTAATCGCGTCGTATCCTCAAATTCCTAACAATCCCCAAAGAGACCGGCATCGCAATTGTAACTCTTCTGGTGTTGACGGTGTTCATGGGCGACGCCGATTACTTCCACCGTTTGACTATTATCGTGATATAACGTCTGCTCATTTGCCGACCCTATCCTATAAAAAAAAACGTTAGTGGCTTCAGTGTGAGGCTTGTTGGGTGTGAGGTCAAATGGAGAAAAAAACAGGTATTACAGGCCTAATAAAATAAATAAAAATAACGAAGAAGTCGACACACACACAGAAATAAACATATACTTATACGGTCGAATTGAGAACCTCTCTCCTTTTTGGAAGTCGGTTATAAGTACGTTTAATACTTTTAACTGAATCGAAACATTAAATTGATTAGGAATCCTTCTGATTGGTGGGATAACTTGGGCCAATCAAAGCGCTGAACGTCACAACCGTGTCGATCGCAATAGGCTCCGTGAAGTCAACATTTTTTGAATTTAAGTTTGGAAACTATGAGTACCTAGATGCTGTGTGCAGAGAGAGAGTATCGTGCGGGTGTATAAATACTTACATTAAGAATAGGATATCCGCAGCAAGAGGGAAAGGAAAGGCAGATTTAATTCATATACCCCAAGCGAACGCGCACCTATTCTTTTTCTATTCTACCCGAATTACCATTGATTGAAAAGTTAATTACGTAAATAGAGTCGAATTATAAACCCACTTTAGCTTTAGCAAACAGGATAATGTAGCGGCACTATCACGTCGCTACATTACTTAGATACGATAGAGATAAGACATACATGTTAATTGTTGCACGTTTGTTAGGATAGCTAAATCTGAAAATATCACGCATCTTCTTAGTATATAAGCACCAGCAATTAAAGTAATAAACAGACCTTAACCATCTACAGTCTCATTATTTACCTTGCCACGAAGTCTGGCAAATTGGTGACCCGACGAAGAACAATCAACATGACTCATTCACCCTGCAAATCAAGCAGCAGCCAACAAGAAGCCTTGGAGATATCAGCCGGAATTTTGGAGGGACCAACCCAGATTATGGTTTAAGCAACTAGAAGCCATAGTAGCACCACAGAAGCAAGGAGACGATTACAAGTACTATACGGTCATTGCAAAACTGCCAAAAGAAGAAATAATACAGGTTAGTGACCTCATTACTTGCCCACCGCCAATAGAAAAGTACAAGGCTATCAAAGAACGCCTAATCAGTTGCTATGAGGAATCAGACCAACGTCAGCTCCAAAAATTATTGTCTGAAATGGATCTCGGCGACCAGAAACCATCACATCTTCTGCGCAAGATGCGGACCCTGAGTAACGGAAATATCAGCGACGAAACCATCAAACTTCTATGGTTGAGGCTTCTGCCACCATCAGTGACTTCGGTTCTAGCAGTCACAGAAGACATAGATGTGAACAAGATGAGCCAGATCGCGGACAAGATATTAATAAATTCAACACGTACAGAGGTGTCAGCTGTAAACGGAAACAAATCTGGCGACGATACAATGTCATGCATACTAGCACAGTTAGCAGAAATGCAATTGGAACTAAATGCAATTCAGCAAGGTCAAAAAAACTATCGACGCAGCACTCAAAGTTATTCCAATCGTCGGCATTTCCTACCACAGTCAAGTTCAAGAGAAAGAAGGCACTTTTGTTTTTACCATGGAAGATTTAAAAAATATGCACAAAAGTGTGTTCAACCTTGTGATTGGAAACAGGATCTCAACTCAAGGAAACAGGGAAACTAATTGAAGCACGGACAACGGCGGAACTCTGTGCTATTCACCCGTCCAACCGCCTCACTATTACCGACCGAAAAAGTGGTATGAGATTTTTGATTGACACGGGAGCAAATATTTCAGTTATTAGCAAGCCACAGAGACATTCACTAATACAAGATGAACAATGTATACTTTATGCCGCCAATGGTACAAAAATTAAGACATATGGTAAAAAAACACTCTCTTTAAACTTCGGGCTACGAAGAAACTTTGTATGGAACTTTGTCATCGCCGATGTAACACAACCGATTATTGGAGCAGATTTTTTAGAGCATTATAAGCTATTAGTCGATATAGCTGGTCGAAAACTCATAGATAGGGTAACTGAGCTGACAACGCCCGCAACCCTGATCAAATCGACGCAGCAAACAATCAGCACAAATGCAGTGGATAGTTCATCGACTGCCGCCGCTGTCACAACAAAGGCAGCAGTTTTTATTTCCTTCGAATTAGCAACAATGACATTACATTACGCATAGGATGTAATTTATCAGCAAGGTTAAGTTATTATATAATTAGGTACATACTAATTTTTTTCAATTTATATGTTAATTATTTTTAAAAGGGGGGAGTATATGTAGCGGCACTATCACGTCGCTACATTACTTAGATACGATAGAGATAAGACATACATGTTAATTGTTGCACGTTTGTTAGGATAGCTAAATCTGAAAATATCACGCATCTTCTTAGTATATAAGCACCAGCAATTAAAGTAATAAACAGACCTTAACCATCTACAGTCTCATTATTTACCTTGCCACGAAGTCTGGCAAAGATAACAACTTATTTTTTTTGTAAAAAATTGTCGATGAAAATTTTTTCCACAGAATATTTAAGCCTTTTTATTTTTCTAAAGAATTACTTATAATAAAAACTTTTTTATTAGTAGAAGTAGCATCGTTTTAATTGCGTAACTTGGGTGACCCAACTCAAGTAACTGTGACTCGAGGCGAGTAAATTTAACGTTATAAAACTTTGTTAATCAATGGTCATAAATACGGTTATCGGTTTGTAATTAACGAGGCCTTTTTCTTATCTCCTTGCCTTCTGCCAATTAGATTGGGGTTGGCTTTTGTTTTAACTTAACAAGTTAAGGGCCCATCTTGGCTGCGTCTACTTAACTACCAGTTAACTAACAAAGGGGTCTATCCTGCCTATGTACGACTTTTAGATTTTATATTTTCGGAGTTGTAAATTTCACGTTTCGGCAGTGCTTGTTTGAAGATGAATTAGGTGGAGGAAATCTATTTCAAGGCACGATTGGGCCGGCTCGACGTTTTTAGAATATTGCGCTATTTACCTTATTACGCTAGCCCCGCAAATCTCGACTCAAATGTTATGCCAAGTCTTGAGACAACGCTTGGGTTGTGTCACGGAGACTAGAAGACCGGAGCCTCCTCCTTTTTACCTCAAATACTATCAACACCTAAACACCTGAAGTCCGGCAACGTAAAAAATAGAGTTACACTTAATTAGAGTTATCATTTACCTGGTATACGAGTTTACGGGTATACGAGTAAAATTAAGATTTGATTAATTTTACTCGTATACCAAATATGAAAAAAGGACTATAATTTCGAAATACGAACCTTGCCTATCGTTAAAAAAAAATAAGCACACGTTTCGTTCAAGTCAACTGTCACACATGCTGAGGCTGGGATTTTCAACGAATCCAGACTGTACCTATCAATTTGAAATAAATAAAAAAAACATATTTTTATATCTTGCTGAACCGTGTTTTCACTCGCGTATTGAACACTGTCCTAATTAAAAGTTGATTTGAATTTTGAATTCTATAAAATCTTCACACATAAAAACAATAGGTACATATCGTTAAATGATTGTACGATATAATTAATTTTCTAGGTACACATTAATTTTCACATAAATTACACATTCGATGCAAAAAACGTTTTCTACACAGCCGATTAAGATCGATTATTAGTTTCTAGGACAAGGACATTGGTCCATCAAGTGGATGATGATTCATTTCTAAGAGTAGTCGGTTTAACTTTAAACCATTAAAGAAAAAATATTTATACTTTTCTTACAACGACGTTCTTTAAACAGTCTTAATACATTATCAGAGTGTAAGAGCCATGTTTTGGCACAAATGAGTCGAAGTAATACCACGGTCTTACAGAAAACCGACTTAAAACACAGCGTTGTGTTTCGCCATAGAGTGTGGTTACCGGAAGAAAAAGGTCG